TTCCTTATCGCAGCTCTCCCACCTTTTTCATAACGTCTTCAAGCTCTTCCATGGTGTCTTGGATCCGTTTTTCCACATCCACCCCTGATTTACCAAATGGTTTACTCATCTTCCACCCACAACAGTTGGTCAATAGATTGCTTAAAAATTTTTTTATGCATTTGGTTTTAATTGGAAGTGTATTTTTTGTTACGTTAGAGGAAATACTCTTTCGCATGAAATTCACACAAAATTTTCTCGTTACAAAAGATAACATCTTGCAATTTTAAACAATGCAAGAAGTTATCATTAAGTACCAGCATAAACATTGAAATTTGGCGGAAATTTTGATAGAAAATGAAATGAAGATTATGAAAAGTGATATAGAAGTCAAAGATTAGACTGGATCGGGCTGGTCACTTGCTTTGTTTGCTTCCTAGCGATTGTTTGTAGGCATGAATAGACGCGGGTATGACTACTTAGGAATTCCTTTTTCGTTCATAAAAAGATCATAATTATTTATCCTTCAACTCAATAAGGGGAGACCGCGGTGAATTTCGAAAGTCTCGGCTCGATTTTCAGAGTCATTGAACCCTTCAACTTAACAAACATTTGATGAGGACATTTTCAAGAGTAAATTGTGTATCATTGAATTTGTAATTGAGGTTAACTGCACAATTAATTCGAGCAGAAAAATTTCCAGCTGGCGAAATCATTGGAAAACGAATTGAAACTACAGAAAATCAAACAATTCATCAATTCATTTCATATTTTCTATTGGAATAGAGCTTGAAGGATACTGACAAAAATATAAAGACAGAAAATCCACCAATATTCGCCGAAAATTGATTTATTTATGAAAAGAGCAATATAAAAATTGAGTCATAAAATTTTTTTTTTATAAAAAAAAAGTCATTAATTTCTGTGAAAAATTTTACTTTCTTCAACAGGCGAAGGAAACGCAATCCATTGAAATTTATGTCTTTTGAAATCACAAAAATGATTCAATAAGAAAATGGTATTGTCCAGAATTTTATGAAAGGTGAAATTGAAAATTTTTTAAAGAAATGTTGAGATTAATTTAAGATGCTATTAGTTATTGAACTCTATACTTTCTGATATAATTTGAGATCATGAAAATCGACTTCTATAGAAAAACCATTTAGTTGAGGAAATTCCATCAAATGATTGAAAGAAATGAATGAAATTGAAGTGAACGGAAATTTGAAATAAGTGGAAATTTGAAGTGAGTGAAAGTTTGAAATTGGTGAAAATTTGAATCGCTTAAGAAATCGCAAATGGTCAAAAAAATTGGAGTAGACAAAAAAATGGAAATGTTGAAAATTTGAAATGGATGTAAATTTGGAGTGGGTCGGAACTCATTTCATTTTGGAATAAAAGGACTCTCAAGGACTCCCAAAATGAAACTTGTTCCAATTTTAAACTTTTTCATCATCGTCTTGATGTTCTGCGATTCTTTTTGCATCTTCAATCTTGAATTTTTCCTTCTTTTCCTGTGCTTTTTTCAGACGTTTCGCTTTTTCTTCTGCTTCATCCTGATCATTTTGGCGTTTATGATTTAAACCCATCATGGCTGCATGTACTTTTGCTTATTCTTCTTGGAGTTGAAGCATTTTTCTCTCTCTTTGCTCCTCCGTGCAATTAGTTTCGAAGCAATAAGCTCGAGAATATTTTTTCTGCATAATTTCTCTAGTCTCGTCAAAGAAGCAGAGAACTTTTCGCAATGCGTTTATCGTTGAAACCTAAAAAATCGATAGAAATTAAGACACTGATTATATTTCACGTATGAAAATTCCTATAGGATGATCCTATGGAGATTTCATACTTTCTCTATAGGATTTTAACGAGAAAATTTTTTACACGTCCTGTAGGAAAAAATTCTATAGGACTTCATCTTCAGAGTTTTGATGAGGAAGAGTCCCCATTAAAAGAGTTTAGTATTCTTCAAGAACTTGGCAAAAATTAATAGAATTTGGCCTATAGGAAAAATCCTATGAGCGAACAACTTTCCTACTTATTTAAAGAAAAAAAAAAAAATAGAGTTAGTTCAAAGAAGGAGAAATCTCTGGCGGAAATTAAGATGACAGATTCTGATAAAACAGGAGATTCGGACAAAATATGACTGATTCTGACAAAATATGTCAGAGTTCAGTTATATTTCTCATTTCCTAGTTATGTTTGAATACAATAGTGTTTTCTCACCAATCTTGCTCGAAAAAGAGCTTCTCCTTTTGTCCTTTCGATACTTTCATAATAACCAAAATCGGAGTGATAACGGCCATCTTTTACTTGAATTTTGATAATTGTGTAACAGCATATTTGGAATTGCCCATTTTTTACTTCTTCAGAATCTATATTCAATCAGATAATTGATGGTGTAAACACAAAAGAGATAAGAATTTCTCCTTCACTTATCAAATTTTTTTTTTTAATTTTAGTAGTGCACTTTTGACTATACATCAAAAGTAATCTCAAACATTAAAGTTGTATTTTTGAAGAACAACCAAGTTCAAAGAGGTTACCGTTGAAATGATGTTTTGATTACCAATTTTTTGATCGACTATCTGGTGAGACCAGCCGATCTTTTTAAATCCTAGTTCAGCACACGCAATCATTTCGGAATAGATGTCGCTGTGGAGACCATTTCGTCTCAGTGTATCCATTGCCGATACCTAAATGAAAGTATTATGGATCTACTGATCAAGGATATGAAATTCAAAATTACTAAATATAATATACTTTTTTTAATGACATGATGATGAATTGATACAATTTATATCATATTCTTACCTTTTTTTTTTCTTCGAGTAATCGTCAGTGATTATCCAATTCAGCCTGGTAACCTTTCGTTTGTCATTGATATTGAATTGTTTTGAAAAAAAAAACTCATCAACAAATTGATCAGTTCCACATAAATAGAGGACGATTTCTCAGAATTAATCACTTGAGTCATTTGACGCATTATGGTGCGCGTTCATAAACAGAGTTACGGTGCATAATTGAAATCCAAATTTGAAAATCTTAAATTTAGCAGTAATTACGCACTCAAAAAATAATTGAGATAAAAACTTCAAAATTTGTATGACTATAGCGCCGTTAGCTGGTATTGTCGATGCGTATAATCGGTCCAGTAGTTCAAGAGATATTCAACTTTATATTTGAAACTTCTTCCTTTAATATCTCAAAAACTACTGGACCAAAGGCATTCTGCTGGTTTTGAGTTTTTTAAATATATTTTTATGTAATTTCTACTTCTTTCTCTTCAAGAAAATTAAACAAAAAACTTGGGACATTTCTCCAACCGGAAAATTTAGATATAAAATTGATAATTTAAGGAAATTGGAAATTCAAATTAAAGAAATTTGAAACTTGTTTCCTTTTATCATCACTCATCTCCATTAATCACGTGTGCAAATTGTGGAACCGTTAAATTCTGGTTTCATAATTTGTAAATGCATGATATTCACTGATATCGATCTATTTGGATACATTTTTTTTTCTAAGTGACTCTGCGTTCGCGGCTTTCTTTTTTTAATCGCAGAGGATATCTGACCATCAGAACTATCTTTATAAATTTGAAACTATGGGAAGAAATGAAGTGACTTGTGACGATGGAATAAGTGCACAGTGTACATTGGTTCACCTCCACCTTTAGCATCTTGTATAATCAGTGCATTGGCTGATAATTTTATGAGGTATTTGGTATAATTTAATTCTGTAGTGAAGTTGTAAAAGGAGGCGAGAGATAGTGAGATGTTCATTGAGATCTTTTTTGTAGAATAAAATCTCAGCTGAGCAATTCCGCACCAAATCAGAGGTCCCAAAAAATTGGATATAAGGGATCAAAAAGTCAAAAATATTATTTAAGGTAGTTATGATTTTTTAAAAGTTTGTTTTTTAATAATTTTTTTTTTCAAATTATGAACAACATTCTAGGTCTCATTGGAGCAATCAAATTTCTCTGCAGCACACTCAGAGAATATGAAAAAAAATATTTCACGATGAGATGTGATTTTTCAAATTTGCTTTGAAATTGCAGGAGTCATAGTGCAAAACGTTTTTTGTTTCAAATGCAATTTTCTCAAAAACGTATTTTTTTTTCAAATTTGAAATTTTGACCAAAAATCGTCAATAAAATTATAAACATTTTGGCGCCAATTAAAGCTTTTTTTGCAGTAGTTCGGGAGATATGAATTTTTTTAATTAACGCAGTGGGGAAGATGATGCAAATTTTTTTTTAATGTTTGTCTCATGCTCATTTCTGCAGTCGAATTTTTGGGGCCTCTGATTTGGCGTGGAATTGCTTAGCTACAAAAAAAATTCTTATGAGATTTTTGCTATTTTCCTTGTGTTTACATATGAAAATGTTCTATAGGAAGCAATGGAGAAATTGGACAGTTTCTATAGGATTTTTCATAGGATTTCCTATAGGATTTTTTCCACCATCATCGTAAAATTTTGTATGGTATACGTGATAAATATGATTTCTCGACAAGCGTGATTCCAGTCTAAAGGGTATTTTTTCTATTTTTTCCTTCCGTTCTATCTTATGCCGGCTATATGTTGCACCCATCCAGAGATCATTTGGACGTGCGGTTTTGAAGTTACGGCATTAATCGAAAAAAAGCATCTCATCAAGCTCTAATCAGGTGGTGCTTTTTTTCAGCTCGGCCTGCGACACTCACGCTCGTCTCCCCATAAAAATTTCGACAGCCAGTGCTGAAATCCGTCCCCGGCTGCCACTTTATGCCTCGTTTCTCGTGCTAGTTCAGGAATTTTTCATCAAATTGTTTTTTCCGCGTACTTTGTCAATGGGAAATTTTTCAAACACTTCTTTTAATAAATTTTATTTAATTCTTATTGAATTTTGGATAATTCACTAGGAAAAGTTGTGAGAAGTCGATGTTCTATGGAGTTTTTTCGTCTGGACTGTTCTATGTATTTTTCAGTTACCTTACTTTTTTTTTCTTTAAGAAAATCAAACGCAAAAATTTACACTATTTTAGGATTTGGAAATTGATTTTTATATTTACTCCGTTATCAGATAAAATAATATATTCTTAAAATATGCTTATTCAGACTCTATTGTAATTTTTTGCGGAAATTCAATAAGTTCATGAAAACTTATTTGTAATCCACTGTACACACTCCATTCAAATTCGTCGAATTTATCGTCATCATAGATACCAAACCAGTCGGTGAAGGTATTCTCTCTCTTCGGGATCGCATTTCATATGTATATCAGCTGTTGAAAAAAAATAATTTCATAATCATTTGTCAACTTTATTTTTACTTATACATGGTTAAAAAATTTTGGCTGAATTATCCAATACAATCCCCGGAAAATTTTATCATAATACAACGTCAGTGAAATTTCAGAGGAGTTCGTTATTGATGACTGAGAATTCAGGGAGAACTCAGTGCGGGTGGAAATTTTCGGTTTCATTTTTTCCTCAAAATTAAGAGCCAGAAAATTTCGAACAATTAATCTTTGAATTTTTAGGACCACGACACTGAATTAATTTTGAGGGAAAAAGAACATGAAATGTCCGGTTTTACTCAAAATTGAGTTGAATTCAACACTGAATGATCATATTTTATTGAACATTCAGGTGAATGAGGGAATTCTCAGTTACAGGCTATTCAAAATTCTGGAATTTCAGGGCTATTTTCCTCGAGGGGAAACCAAGCCCCTGTGTCTATAGGAATTCAAGAACTTACGCACGAAAAGATTTAATAGAAAATCCTATAGAATTCTATAAAAAATTCTATTGGATTTGTATTGAATGTTCTATAAGTTTTTTGCCGTTTCTATAGGATATATTCTATATAAAAAGTTAATAGAAATCGATGTCCTATAGAATTTATTCGGCTCAAATTTTATAAGTTTTTTTCATTGAATTTTTATTTTCTTCCCTTCAAGAAAATCGTGCGTGCTGTGTTTTTTTCTGACAATTATCATTTTTCATTTTTGAAACCTTTAGTGACTCGACCATTGCATTGAGCAGTCAATGAAGTAGTTTTACAAACAAAAAAATGATAAGTGTAAAAAAAAACACAGTTGTAAAATTCTTATAGGAGTTCCGTTTCCCCTTAAATGAAATTCCGGGCCACCGTCCTGAAAATGACTAGTGAGCTATCCTCGAAATTTCCTCTCTTTCCTAACAGTGTAGTAGGATTTTCATAGAAAAATTTTCAATGGTATGGACACTATAATCAGAATATTGGTATAAATCGGTGGAAATTTCTAGTAAAATGAACCAAGAGAACTCACGTTGTGTAATGGATGGGCGTACAGCAATTCCACCATCTTTGCTGCATCATAGATTTTTACTTTGTAATATTTCTGAGTTTCTTCGTGATGTCCGTTGAAAATGATTAAAGGGAGGAATACCCGACCATCAACTCTGCGCAATCCCACCTCGGTCATTACTCGGCCTGTCAAACTATTCGATTTTTTTTTTCAATCAATACAATTCACAGTAATATTTTAGTAAGAAAATGCTATGACACTGAGAAAAAAATCTAAAAAACAGAAATTTCACTTTTTCCAGCGAATAAAGGACTGTTGCACAATATAAAATAATCAATAGCCGTGAGAAAGAAAGAGTGAGAATGTGAAAAACGGTTATTCATTCATATGATCAACATCAACTCACTTTTTTGGAACTCCTTCTTGGATATTTTTAATTAAATTTGGATATTGAAGATAAATATGCATGTCGAGGTTATCCATTTTGTTATAGGGTCGGTTTATCAGTTGTTTTATGTTTTGGTGAACTTCAATCCAATGACAATATCATGTTCTTTTTACAGTGTTAAGAAAGAAAGAGAGCAGTGCAATTAACAGCCTCGTGTTATGCAAATAACTGCATCCCCTCCAACCGCCGATACTTGATAATTAATTTTTACGTAAAAAATTTGAAGGAATGCGAAAATTAATGCAGGAAGGGAGAAACGAGCGGTGCAATGAGAGGAAAATAAAATTTCGCCAAGTATAAAATTAGAGTAAAAGATAAGGCTTCAACTATTCCACGTGAAGTACGGTAACTGTGGTGCTAAATATTTGTACTGGTAGTAGAATATGATAGCTGATACTACTAAACACAACAGGCACGTTAGTTGAATCATATCTTGTTTCTGTTTTTTAGAGATCAGATTTCTATTTTCGACTGTGAAGTGGTTTAGACTTCTATTAACGCTGTCAAATTCATCATTCATATCAGGCTGGTGTCTGCTTATTGAATTATATGGTCCTGATCATGAATGTAACGCGTGGTCGAGACAGGCCCTGAACCGGGCACCCGTGTCCGGATCTTATACGGAGATCCTAGCCCCGACCTGATCTGGGGAACTACATCAGGTCCATGCCGAGTTAACTTATACGGTCCTAATTGAGTCATTCCAAATTTCCAAATTTGAATCAACTCTGGGTTCGATCCATCACAGAAGTGGAATTGGATTTTGGAATGGAATAACTACGGATCCATTCGGAAGCATACTACCAATGGAATTGGTAGAAATTAAAAACGAGAGAAAGTAGTATCACAAAAAGCGACAGTAAAAAAGCTTCGGTAGAATAGGCTTCTACCTCTGCTTGTTTTAAATGGCATTGGCAGAAAATTTTTTAGGTGCATATAAAATTAGCTCATAATAAGCCGCAACGCTATTGTTTTCTGAACGGCATAAAAATGAAAACTTTTGGAATAATAACAAATTATCCGATAATGATTTTTCAATTATCCAATGTCAAAAAGGATTTTTCTATCACTTTCACAAATGTGGTCACTCCTACATTTTGTGAAAAAGAAACATTGAATTTTTTTATTAAAAAAAAAAAACATTTTTTGAGAAAAAAAAAATGTTTTTTTAACAATTTTTCGAAACGTGAAAAATAGTGGCTAATGAGTTGTAAATTATCCCATGTCGAAAACCAAATTTTGTTAATTTTTAACCATTTTTTCTGCTAACTTGCGGTAAGGTAGCATCAACGCCGTTTTTCCAAAAACTGGGTTAGTTGAAAATTTTTTTGCATACGTAGAAAATTAGCTCTTAATTAGCTTTAAATGATCCGATATCGGAAATTCAATTCTGTTGATTTTTTAAATGATTATTCTGCTAACTTACAAAAAAGCTTGCATACGCATCATGCTAGCATGAATACGCTTTTTTTTAAATGGCATTAGCAGAAAAAATTTTAAATGTAGATAAAATTAGCTCATAATAAGCCGCAATGCTATTGTTTTCCAAACGGCATAAAGGTGAAAACTTTTGGAATTATAACAAATCATCTGGTAATGATTTTTCAATTATCCAATAACAAAACTATTTTTTTTGCCACTTTTATGAATGAGATTTAGTTTATTTCTACATTTCAGTCAAAAGTATGTAAATGCGTCGTTGTGTCAAAAAAAAACAAAAATTCAGAAAAAATTTGGTTTTAAAAAAAAATTTGTTTTTTTTTTAATTTTTGAAACGTAAAAAAATTGCTGCTAATGAGCTCTAAATTATCCCATATTGAAAACGAAAGTTTGTTCATTTTTTAACCATTTTTTCTACTAACTTGCGGTAAGCTAGCATTGCCGCCGTTTTTCCAAAAACTGGGTTAGCTGAAAATTTTTTGAAAACGTAGAAAATTAGCTGTTAATTAGCTTTAAATTATCCGATATCAAAAATCTAATTCTATTGATTTTTTAAATAATTTTTCTGCTAACTTACAAAAAAGCTAGCAGAGACGTTTTTTTTCAAAAACGGTATTAGCAAAAAAATTTTTGAAGGCATATAAAATTAGCTCATACTGAGCTGCAAATTATCCAATATTGAAAATTCGATTCTGCTACTTTTGCCTGCTAGGTTAACATACGTAATTTTGAAAAGTCTCTGAAATTACTCCAAAATGTTTAGAAGTGATTGATATATTCAACATTTCTTGAAACTCAAAGAATTCTATCGAAATTTCTAGAAAACAGGTGAATTTTCATGAGTGTTATTTTTCTTTGTATATTTGATTTGATCTTGCAATTGGCCTGGTGCTGTTGTCAGAATTGGAAAATTTTGAAATTTTTAAGAAATTTCCGAACTAAAACTGTCTGACAGCCTCAAATACTGCGCTCTGATTGGCTGAACTTCGAGTTAGGAGAACAACCAGAAATACTTGGATTCTCTCGAAATGTTTCCAAGTTTATTCAATTCTTTCAAAATTTCAAGGAGTTTCTTCGATTTCTTCCATATTTCTACAAACTTACGAAATTCTCCTGAATTCGTTAGAAAATTCGGAAACTTGCAGAACCCCCTCGAATTTCGGGGAATTTTCCAGCATTCTCATGAAAATTTTAGCATTTCCTAGAATTTTGTTAGATGGTGCTTGCCGTCATGAGACACTCCGCGAATCAGCCCCCACGATGAAATCTAAGAAAAGTTCACGTCAAAATGGAAATTGAACAATCTAAATTAAAAACCCCTGACAGAAAGTTGGGAATTAACTGATGGAAAAATGATAACTTGAAAAGTGCTTGAAAAGTGCAAACGTGAAAAATTAGCTGCTAATGAGCTCTAAATCATCCGATATTGGAAAACAGATTTTACTCCATTTTACAATGACTTTTCTGCTAACTTGCGGTAAGCTAGCAGCAACGGCATTTTCCCAGAAAGTACATGAGCAAAAAATTTTTTGAAAGCGTAGGAAATTGGCTCTCAATGAGCTTTAAATTATGCAATGTCAAAAACAGAATCCTGTTTATTTTTGCGAATTTTTCCTGTTGACTTGCAAAAGAATTGGCACTCCCCTGTATTTTTTTCCTTTCAAGAGGGTAACTAACAGGATTCATCCCTAGTCTGTAAGCATGTACTAGCATCCTCTTCTTTAAAAAAAAAATCAATTTTTTTTTGGAAAAAAAATTAAAAAATTTGTTTGAAAAAAAAATGAATTTTTTTTTTTGGAAACGTTAACAATTAGCTGCTAATGAGCTCTAAATCAGCCGATACTGAAAATCAGGTTGTTCTCCATTTTAAGATGATTTTTCTGCTAACTTGCAGTAAGCTAGCAGCAACGGCGTTCTTCCAAAAAGTATATTAGCAAAAAAATTTTTGAAAACGTAGAAAATTAGCTTTTAATCAGCTTTAAATTATCCCATGTAAAAAAAAAAATTCTGCTCATTTTTGAAAAATTTTTTTGCTAGCTTACAAAAAAGCTAGCACGGGCACGTTTTTTTCAAAAACGACGTTAGCAAAAAATTTTTTGAAAGTGTATAAAATTAGCTCATAATGAGCTGCAAATCATCCAATAACGAAAATTCGATTCTGCTACTTTTGCCGGCTAGGTATACATACGTAATTATGAATTCAGGCCCGGTTGCACCAGCTTCAGATAACAAAAACGTCAGTTGAGGAAAAATGTAAATTTTAATGTTCAATGGAGTTTTTTACCCGGGAGAGTAACTGAAATTTACCTCAGGAACAATAAATAATAATTTATCCTCGATTGAAATCAGTGTTAAGGGAAGACTACTGTGAGTTTTAAAAGTCGTGGGTTATTGGAGTGAGACTTTTTATACGTTGAAGATCGATTATATAGATCTGAAAACGAATAATTAGTGCAGAACAAATTTTTTGTTGTTGTTCGTTTGCCCGAAAACGCTTAAAATGCCAAAACAGTCCAGGGCCTCCAATTTTTGAGCTACGAATGATTTTTTTTTTCAAAATTTTCGGAAAAATATATGAAATAACAATAACGAGCTAGTTTTTTTTAATACACCTCTTACATGGCTACATTTGCTTTGTTTAACACAAATAGTGAATTCTTTTAGATGAAAAAAAACGAAATCAGCTATGTCGGAGTCGAATTCCAAAAAAATGGTTCGTAATTGTTGTTCCACACATTTTTCCGGAAATTTCGAAAAAAAAAAATTTTTGTAGCTCAAAAATTGGAGGCCCTAGACAGTTTTTACCATTTTAAGCGTTTGCGGGCAAACGAACAATAAAAAGGATTTTTTTTGCACCAATTACTCGTTTTCAGATCTATTCTATCGATCTTCAACGTTTGAAAAGTCTCACTCCCATAACTCACGACTTTTAAAACTCACAGTAGTCTCCCCTTAACTCAAGTGGAACTACAGGATAAATAAAAAAATATTCGTTCGTTCAATTATTCAAAAATGATGATCCCTAGGATATAATTGATCCGGACGCTAAATTTTACCGTGGGGTTTATTTGGTTAATAGGGCTTGGTGCAACTGGGCCTCATTCTTCAAAATAAAAATGGGATTGAATGGATGTTACAAATTACGAAATACCATTTCTAATTCTCTATTCCAATTTCTTCAATTTCAATGTTTAAGTNTCCGATTTGGGGTCTGAAGGGTCAGAAAAAAAAGCCCCTCGCTCCTCGGATCCTTTGCTATTCGATTTAGGGTCAGAAGGGTCGGAAAAGAAATTTCCCCCCACGCTTGGACTTCCCACAATGCGATTCAGGGTGGGAAGGGTCAAAAATNAATGTTGGTACATGTCTCCACAAACGTAAATTATTCCTTTCCTGAAAGGATAATATGTGAAGAAAATCAGAGAAACCTCCGTTCTTGTTAAAATCTGAACTCCCATTATGACATTGCGCTTGATCAACGATTTCTTTTTAACTTTCGGGTCCTTATGTGGCTTAAGCACCCCGTCGCCCATCATGAGACTTCAAATGATAGATCGTCGGTTTGTATCGGGCATCGGAATCAGAACAATCAGTGATTTTAGATACATGGACAAAGTGGGAATCATTGCCTCTCCGGCAATCATGCACTTAATTTCCAAAATGAGTCATTAGGCGAAAAATTTCAACTCAATCTCGATTCCTAAATTTTTTTCTCACAAACTGAATCAGGGCCAACACGGTTAGAAGAGTCAGCAATTTTCTAAAAATCCCCGTCCTGAAGGGCTCGAGCATGCAATTTCGAAAATAACCTATTAGGGGCAAGAGAGTCTACAGTTTTCGAAATAGTCATCCTCCCTTCCCATCGTACCATCAGCAGTCCGATTTAGGGTTTGAAGCGTATAGAAAAAATTCACCCCCTGTAACCTTCAACTAAGAACCAAAAATTCCCTCCCCCCTCTCTACGCAGCCATCACAATCAGATTTAGGCTCAGAAGGGTCAGAAAAAATTCCCTTCCCCCCCTTTGGACTTCCCACAATGCGATTAAGGGTACGAAGGGTCAGAAAAAAATCTTCTCCCCGTTGCATCCACAACAAGGACCTCAAAATTCCCCCCTTCAACTAGCCGATTTGGGGTCAGAACGGTTAGGAAAAATTCCCCACCTCCCTTGGACTTCCCACAATCAGATTGAGGGTCAGAAGGGTCAGGAAAAATTCCCCCCCTCTCTCGCACCCTTTGCAATTCGATTTAGGGTCAGAAGGGTAAGAAAAAGATTTCCCTCACCCCTTGGACTTCTCACCATGTAATTGAGGGTCAGAAGGGTTAGAAAAAATGTCACCTCCCGGACTCCCCTGCGATGCAGGGAGTTGGGGGGACCCAATGCGATTAAGGGTCACAAGGGTCAGGAAAAATCCTCTCCCCCTTACATCAACAACGAAGAACCCAAAATTCCGTCTTCCCGCCCGATTTAGGGTTAGAAGGATCAGAAAAAAATTCCCCTCGTCCCCTTGGATCTTCCAGGGGGCCAGATGGGTAAAAAAATTCCCCCATCCCCCTTGGACAACCAACAATGCGATTAAGGGTCAGAAGGATCAGGAAAAATTCACTCACCCCCCTCGCACCCTTTGCAAATCGATTTACGGTCGGATGGGTAAAAAAAATCACCCCCCTCCCCGTCAAATGCACAAAAATTCGATTTTGGATCAGAAGGGTCAGAAAAAAATTCCTCCTCTCCCCGCCTTGCACTTCAGACAATGCAATTATGGGTCAGAAGAGTCAGAAAAAATCCCCTCCCTCTTGCATCCTCAACAAAGAACCCAAAATTTTCCCCTACACATCGCACCCTCAACTATGTGATTTAGGGTCAGAAGGGTCAGAAAAAAAATTCCTCTCGCCCCTTGGATACGCCACAATCCGATTTGGGGTTTGAAGGGTCGGAAAAAAATTCCCTCCCCCCACCTTGGACTTACCACAATGCGATTAAGGGTCAGAAGGGTAAAAAAAATCTCTCGATCGCACCCTCAACTATACGATTTAAGGTCACAGGATTAAAAAAAATTCCCCTCCCCCTTGGACTTCCCACAATGCGATTAAGGGTCAGAAGGGTAAAAAAAATCTCTCGATCGCACCCTCAACTATACGATTTAAGGTCACAGGATTAAAAAAAATTCCCCTCCCCCTTGGACTTCCCACAATGCGATTAAGGGTCAGAAGGGTAAAAAAAATCTCTCGATCGCACCCTCAACTATACGATTTAAGGTCACAGGATTAAAAAAAATTCCCCTCCCCCTTGGACTTCCCACAATGCGATTAAGGGTCAGAAGGGTAAAAAAAATCTCTCGATCGCACCCTCAACTATACGATTTAAGGTCACAGGATTAAAAAAAATTCCCCTCCCCCTTGGACTTCCCACAATGCGATTAAGGGTCAGAAGGGTAAAAAAAATCCCCCTCCCCTCCCATCGCACCATCAATTAACCGATTTAAGGTCAGATAGGCCAGAAAAAAAATTTCCCCCACTCTTGGACTTCTCACAATGCGATTAAGGGTCAGAAGGGTCAAAAAAATATCCCCCTCCCCCTTGGACTTCCCACAATGCGGTTAAAGGTCAGAAGGGACAGGAAAACATCCCCTCCCCCTTGGATCCTCAACAAAGAACCCAAAATTGCCCCCTCCCCGTCGCACTCTCAAGTATGTAATTTAGGGTCAGAAGGATCAGAAAAAAAATTCTCTTACCCCTCGGATCCTGTACAGTCCGATTTAGGGTCAGAATGGTCAACCCCCCCCCCCATAC